AGTATCATCTAAACCAAGACAAACCTTTGACAGAGTGGCAATGGTAGAAAAAAAAAAAAAGTGATATGTTGCAGGAACTGAAGAAAAGACCTTGAATTTGGCATCAGTAAACCTAACCTAAGATGCAAAGGGTTACAGACTGAATTGAAGGTGAAAAATCAGAGACCACAAAAGTAGACTATTTTTCAGAGGATGGGGGTTATTTTCATATTTCTTTTTTTTTTTTCTCTGAGGGAGTCTCGCTCTGTCGTCCAGGCTGGAGTGCAGTGGCCGGATCTCAGCTCACTGCAAGCTCCGCCTCGCGGGTTTACGCCATTCTCCTGCCTCAGCCTCCCGAGTAGCTGGGACCACAGACGCCTGCCACCTCGCCTGGCTAGTTTTTTGTATTTTTTAGTAGAGACGGGGTTTCACCGTGTTAGCCAGGATGGTCTTGATCTCCTGACCTCGTGATCCGCCCGTCTCGGCCTCCCAAAGTGCTGGGATTACAGGCTTGAGCCACCGCGCCCGGCCTTTATTTTCATATTTCAACAAACGAACCTCAAGTGAAAAGAGAAAGTAACTGCAGTACATCAAGAACGCAGCTAGACCTAAATGGAGGCTATTCTTTGATTCTGAATAATGGAAAAAGTCAAGTATTTTCATGCAAAGTAGTAAAGTTGCCAATAGAGGATAATGTTGGAAATAAGGATATAACCAAGTTTTATAATTTACAGAGTATTTTCACATAAATTATCTCAACAACTAAAGCTAAAGGAGGTTAAGTGACTTGCCTAAGTTCACACAGTATAATTTAATCCTGAAGTACAAAGGTTCTGAAGATTGGTTGCTTCTGTTAAAAACATTTTTAAGGCCAGGTGCAGTGGCTCATGCCTGTAATCCCAGTACTTTGGGGGGCCATGGCAGGTGGATCACCTGAGGTCAGGAGTTTGAGATCAGCCTGGCCAACATGGCAAAACACCATCTCTATTAAAAATACAAAAAAAATTAGCTGGGTGTGGTGGCGCATGCCTGTAGACCTTGCTACTCAGGAGGCTGAGGCAGGAGAACTGCTTGAACCTGGGAGGTGGTGGTCGCAGTGAGCCAAGTTCGCACCATTGCACTCCAGCCTGGGTAACAGCACGACTTCATCTCAAAAAAGAAAAAAAAAAGGGCCAGGCGTGGTGGCTCAGCCTGTAATCCCAGCACTTTGGGAGGCTGAGGTGGGCGAATCACGAGGTCAGGAGACCAAGACCATCCTGGCTAACATGGTGAAACCCCGACTCTACTAAATATACAAAAATAAAACTAGCCGGGTGTGATGGTGGGCGCCTGTAGTCCCAGCTACTTGGGAGGCTGAGGTGGGAGAACAGCGTGAACCCAGGAAGTGGAGCTTGCAGTGAGCTGAGTTCGCACCACTGCACTCCAGCCTAGGCAACAGAGTGAGACTCCATCTCAAAAATATATATATATATATTCAAAATTTCAGTTCCACTGCTGTTAATCATTGATATGATTTGGATCTGTGTCCCCACCAAATTTCAGATTAAAAGTAATCCCCAGTATTGGAGGTTGGGCCAGGTGAGAGGTATTTGGATCATGGGGTGTTTGGATGATCCATGTTTGGATCACCCCCTTCATGATGAGTAAGTTCACACAAGATTTGGTTGTTTAAAAGTGTGTGGCCCCTCCCACTCTCTCTCTTACTCCCTTTCTCGCCATGTGAAATGTGTGCCCCTACTTGACCTTTCACCATGAGTAAAAGCTCCCTGAGGCCTCTCCAGAAGGTGAGCAGATGCAGGAACCATGCTTCTTCCTGTATAGCCTGTAGAAGCATGAGCCAATTAAATTTCTTTTCTTTATAAATTATCCAGTCTCAGGTATTTCTTTATAGCAATGCAAGAGCAGCCTAACACTACCATTCCGAACCCTACTTTTTTCAATCTTATAATAGGAACAATAATCCTTACATGTTGTTATGTGTGTCTAATGAGATAAGGTGCAGAAAATGCTAAGCCTAACTAATACACAGTTTAAAACAAAAAAGTTAGTTGACTCTCAGGATAAGAGCCAAGGTTTTCCAACTGCAAGTCCCAAATTCTCTCTTGTTCCACAAACTGCTGACAAAAGAAACAGGGTAAGTAATGAGGCAGATTAAAAAACAGAAGGGAGTATGAAATACTTAAACAATGGGAAGAGTCTCTAAAAAAAGGTAGGATACAACTTTCTCTGAGATATGCAGAAAGAATAATACAAATGAAGATAAACATTAGTGAGGAGAAAAAGAAAGCTAAGAAAGATAAAGGAAATAGTTGAAATTGTCAATCATCAGTGGAGAATTAAGATAAACTCTTAAGTTAAAAATGGGAGGCCGGGCGCGGTGGCTCAAGCCTGTAATCCCAGCACTTTGGGAGGCCGAGACGGGCGGATCACGAGGTCAGGAGATCGAGACCATCCTGGCTGACACGGTGAAACCCCGTCTCTACTAAAAAATACAAAAAACTAGCCGGGCGAGGTGGCAGGTGCCTGTAGTCCCAGCTACTCGGGAGGCTGAGGGAGGAGAATGGCGTGAACCCGGGAGGCGGAGCTTGCAGTGAGCTGAGATCCGGCCACTGCACTCCAGCCTGGGCGACAGAGCGAGACTCCGTCTCAAAAAAAAAAAGAGAAAAAAAAAAAAAAAAAAAAATGGGAGGCAGTGAATCCACAGACATCTGTCACCACCACCAGTCCTGTCCCTGAGCAAAGAATGAAAACAGCTTAACTGCACGGAAGAGAGAACTACACGGATACCTCGTTTTATTGTACTTCGTTTTGCTGTGCTTCACAGATACTGCATTGTCTACAGTCAAAGGCTTGTGGTAATCCTATGTTGAGCAACTCTACTATAAATGCAACTTTTCCAACAGTATGTGATCACTTTGTATCACTGTGTCCACATTTTGACAATTTTCACAATATTTCAAATGTTTTCACTGTAATTATATATGTTATGGTGATTTGTGATCAGTGATCTTTGATGTTAATATCGTAATTGTTCTGGAGTGTCATGAACTGCGTCCATATAAAACAGCAAACTTAACTGATAAATGTCATGTGTGTTCTAACTGCTACACTGATCAGCCTTTCTTCTCTCTCCTCCTCTACTTGGCCTTCCCTATTATCTGAGACAGAACAGGCCTAATAATAAAATTAGGCCAATTAATAACCCGAAAATGGCCTCTAAGTGTTCAAGTGAAAGAAATAATGACATCCCTCTCACATTAAATAAAAAGTTAGAAATGATTAAGCTCAGAGAGGAAGGCAATGTTGAAAGCCACAGCAGGTCAAGAGATTGGCCTTTTGCCCCAAACAGCCAAGTTTTGATTGCAAAGGAAAAGTTTTTGAAGAAAATTAAAAGTGCTATTCCAGTGAACGTATGAATAATAAGAAAGCTTAACAGCCTTATTGTTGATATGAAGGAAAGTTTGAGTGGTCTAGATAGAAGATCAAACCAACTGTAACATTTCCTTAAGCCAAAGCCTAATCCAGAGTGAGGCCCTAACTCTCTTCAATTCTTTGAAGGCCGAACAGAGGTGAGGAAGTGGCAGAGGAAAAGTTTCAAGCTAGCAGAGGTTGGTTCATGTGGTTTAAGAAAAGAAGCCATCTCCATGACATAAAAGTGGAAGGTAAAGCAAGTGCTAATGTAGAAGCTGCAGTAAGGCATCCAGAAGATCTAGCCAAGATCACTGATGAAGTCGGCTACAGGAAACAAATTTTCAATGGAGGTAAAACAGCCTTCTATTGAAAGAAGATACCATCTAGGACGACTTCCATAACTAGAGAGAAGTCAATGGGTGAATGTAGCTGGTAGCTTTAATGCAAACCATCACTTACTTATCATTCTGAAAATCCTTGGCCCTTAAGAACTATGCTAAATCTACTCTGCCTATGCTCTATAAATGGAACAACAAAGCCTGGATAACAGCACATCTGTTTACAGCATGATTTACTGAATATTTTAAGCCCACGGTTGAGACCTACTGCTCAGGAAAAAAAAAAAAACAAAAATTTATTTTTAAAATATGCATGCTGACAATGCCCGTAGTCACCCAAGAGCTCTGATGGAAATGAACAAGGAGATTAATGTTACTTTCACGTCTGCTAACACAACATCCATTCTGTAGCCCATGAATGAAGGAGACATTTAGACTTTCAATTCTTGTTATTTAAGATACACATTTTGGAAGGCTATAGCTGCCATAGATAGTGATTCCTCTGATAAATGTAGGCAAATAAACTGAAAGCCTTCTGGAAAAAAATTCATCAGTTTAGATGCCACTACAAACATTCACGATTCATAGGAGAAAGTCAAAACGTCAATATTAACAGGAATTTGGAAGATGATTCCAATCCCCAGGGACGACTTTGAGGGTTGAAGACTTCAGTGGAGAAAATAACTGAAGATGTGGTAAAAATAGCAAGAGAATGAGAATTAAAAGTGGATCAAACTTGAACAGATGAGGAGCTGCTTCTTTTGGATCAGCAAAGAAAGTTTTGTGAGGTGGAATCTACTGCTGGTGAAGATGCTGTGAATATTGTGGAAATAACAAAAGATTTACAAAATGTAAACTTAGTTGATAAAGCAGAGGCAGGGTTTAAGAGGACTGACTCCAATTTCAAAAGAATACCTTGCCACTAATTAATTCCACTAACACCCTTCCCATCCTATGGTAACCATCTTTCTGTTCTCTATGAGTTCAATTTTTTTAATTTTTATTTTAGCTCCCACGAATAAGTGGGAGCACACAGTTTGTCTTTCTGAGCCTGGCTTATTTCACTTAACACAATGACCTCCAGTTCCATCTATGTTGTTGCAAATGACAGGATCTCATTCTTTTTTTGTGACTGAATAGAAGTACATTGTGTATATGTCCAACTGAAGTAGTATAGCATAATTCGCACAGAAACCAATTATCCAGTTGGGTTGGGAAAAACATATCCAGTTTATGCTGACTAAACTCTCAATGCTGGAAGAAATGAATTACCTCTAGATTGCTTCTCATTGCCTTCTCTTCTTCCAAATCTTTTCGCAGTTTTTCCAGTTCTTTCCTAAAAACAAAGTACTTATTACTGTTAAGTCTTTCGATTAAATAATGTATTTGACTGATATTTACAGGCTTTTTGTTACCTAACCCACCAGTTCATGGGAAAATCCTTTTAAGGGCAATAGCAATGTTAATTAAGAAAAATGTAAGATTCTCTAGTTAGAATGGTTCAATGTAACAGTTAAAAATTCAGCAAAACCAAGGCAAATCTATCTGAGATCAAGAAACCAAGTAAATTCGGAGCAGCTCATGAAGACAGAAATAATATCTAACCTTTAGAAGAAATTTTCTATATTCAGCTATCATACATTTTCCAGGTTGGAAACCTCAAAGCCCAAGCAATTTGGTAAAATGAATATCGACACATTACAATACAAGGCAAGTTAACAGTTTATCTGATAAGATAATCTAGACTTTGAATTTCTCTATTTTTAAAAATTAAATACCACATTAAAGTCTAAAAACCAAACAAATTAAAAACTCTAGCCAATAGTTTCTCCTCCTTAACTCATGTTTTCATCTTCCTGTGTTCCCTTCTAATCTTTCCATACAGTTGTTCTTTTTTCTATATATATAATATACATATATATCTCAGAAATGTTTTATCCATTCTAGAGCTAATTTAAGAGCACCTACGGGCAACATGTATATGTAAAACAGCGCACAGTATAAAAAATGTAAAACAACAAAATCAAATCAGGAGAGTTCTCTAACTGGTACGTGGGTGGCAATTAATAAATGTTTACTGGACAAGTAAACTTACAGCTTATAATGTGCATGTTGCAGAATCTACTAAAAGAATCTTTCAAAACAGATAAACTGAAGGATTCCAAGAAATACCATCACGTATTGAATTATAAACTCTCTCTATATACATAACATCTAAAATATATAACATTTTTAAGTAGACATTTAAGATACAGTTTTTGTTTCTAAGAAATACCTGTAAAAGTGTTCTGCAAACTCCAAATACCTTATACTGTTAATCTCAATATTGTTTTTAATAAGATTCCCAGGCCAACTTAAAATTGGAAAAGAAATGATAAAATCAGGTTTAGAGGTAACATGGCCTCTGGCTGTAACTTTTATGTGTTTTATTTTTATTTTTTGTTCCTTTATACTTTTTATTTGGCCATAACTTTTATACTGTATTCCAAGAAATCTTTTTAGAAGGGAAGTTGAAGACAAGGTATGAGTACCCTCAATCTCAAGGTATGAGCACCCTCAATCTCAATTCAATTAGATTAGCTGCTTTTTAAAAAAATCTGTTTTACCTACTGGGCTTTTGTAGAATTATGCTTAAAATGTCAACAAGTTTTAAAATTCAAATACTAGTGGTTACAGAAAAGATCTTGGCCAGGTGCGGTGGCTCACGCCTGTAATCCCAGCACTTTGGGAGGCCGAGGCAGGTGGATCACAAGTTCAGGAGATCGAGACCATCCTGGCTAACGCGGTGAAACCCCGTCTCTACCAAAAATACAAAAAATTAGCCGGGCGTGGTGGTGGGTGCCTATAGTCCCAGCTACTTGGGAGGCTGAGGCAGGAGAATGGCGTGAACACGGGAGGCATAGCCTGCAGTGAACTGAGATCGTGCCACTGCACTCCAGCCTGGGCAACACAGCGGGACTCCGTCTCATTTAAAAAAAAAAAAAATCTCTAAACCAATAGATAATACGGGTTTGAGTTCTAGCTCTGTCATTTAAGAACTGTGTGATCTTGGCTAAATAACTTTATCTCTATAAACTTTTATCTCTTCATTTAAAAAGCCAGAGGGGGAGCTCACCTATAATAGGTGATCTTGTAAATTTGTTTTAGCTCTAAAAAGTCCCTAACTTTCAACTAGGGTATGTCTCAACATATACCATACCAAAAAATTTTCAGAGTTAAGGGAAGGGTTTTAGAGATCACCTATCCCAACACATTCATTTTATAAATGTCCAACTCGACCTCGCAGTAAGTTAACTATATGTATAGATACATAACCAGATCCAAAATACAGTATTTTTCCTAATCATACTAATCATACTAATCATATCTGACCAGAAGATTTCTAGCCTAAAATTATGGTTATGTATGTACGTTTTCCACAATCCACCTACCAGAATAACTTCACCAATTTAACTTTTTTGCCGAAAAGAGAAAAGCACTGTTAATGAAAATTTCTTTGAAAATATACTTGCTCACACCAGAGACTTTTGTTTGAGACAGTCTTGGTTTTGTTGCCCAGGCTGGAGTGCAGTGGCACGTTCACAGCTCACTGCAGCCTTGACTTCCCAGGCTCAAGAGATCCTCCCACCTCAGCCTCTTGAGTAGCTAGGACTACAGGGATGTGCCACTAACCCTGGCTTTTTCTTTTTTTTTTTTTTGCAAAAATGGGGTTTTGCCATGTTGTCCAGGCTGATCTCAAACTCCTGGACTCAAGCAATCCTCCAACCTTGGTCTCCCAAAGTGCTGGGATTACAGGAGTGAACTACCACACCCAGCCACAGATTAGATTTTTACTTAATATGGTTTGAAAAAAAATTCTTTACGCATGGGTTAAGTAGTACTCATAGAAGAAAAGAAGGGCTACTTACCCGTGATCCTTTTTCAGTGCTTCTACAATGCACAACAATTCAATAATCTGGGCTCTAAGTTCATCCAGGGAATTTTTTTTCACATCATCTGTTTCTACTTTAGCTTTGATTTCTAATGGAGTCAGGAAAGCAGTTGTATTTGCTTTAGAAGCACTGGAAGGTGTTGAAAGGTACACAGATGGCTGAAAACACAAAAAATATTTTTTCTGACTTTAATATTATATTTAAGTTCAAAAGATTTTTACATCAAGAAGAAAAACAATTAAATACTTCAAGATAAATGGCAAATTTGGAAATTCAAAAGCAATTTGATGTTCACAACTGGAAAAATCGCCAGACAACTAAAGAATAAATTTATAATCATTAGTGGTTTTTGTAGGAAATGATAATTTCATTAACAGAAGAAAAAAGGAAAAAAGAAAAATCCATCAAATGCATATTATGGATGGTTCGCCTAGTGAAACAGGAGAGCACTATAAAGGTATTATTTTTAATTCCATATTCAATACTTATTGTTTGGAATGTCCAAAGAGCTTCACTTAAAAGTAATTGTGAACAATAGGTTCAGGAAGAGTCACTAAAATGAGTCCACAGCCTGACACCTCATAACTGTTTCACTAAAAAAACAGCAAATCACTTTAATAGAATTTCAATAGACTGTTGACAGCTGAGAGAATCAGATTAAGTGTATTTAATAAATTGGAAACACTCTGACAACAATGCCCTGAAATGAAATAGAGAAATAATTTGGGAGGAAACCTAAATGACCTTAAATGTGTGTCAGTTGTGGTGAAACTACGTTAAATAAAAATGGTAAAAATTTTGATAAGACATCTAACACATGTAACAGATGAAAGGATTCATGTATATACAGTATTCTCCCATTCATTCCAGTATATACTGAATGCTTAATTATTGTACTAAGCACCAAGCTAGGTAAATACTACACAAGCGTTCATTTCTGACTTTAAGAATATATGTTTAATGGAGAAATGAAATAGATGCAGAGATCTATGCCTTTAAAAACACAAAATATGTAATATTTATTTTATTCAATTAAAATGTAAGCTCTTTCAAAAATATTTGCAGAAAACAGTCTGACAAAGCTAAACAATTCAATTTTTTAGCAGTAATTATTCCATTTCTTGGCAGAAGAAATAATTCTTCCTAAAGAACACCTTAAATTATCTATGTTTGATGTCCACAAAGAATCCCAGAAAGTCAACAAACCTTAGCCCACAATGCACCTCACCTTTGGAGAAGAGCATGTATCTTTTTTTAATTCAGATGGCTTTAGGTTGGCACTGTCTTCTTCTTTTGGTAACTTCAAGATTTTTTCGGGGCTGTGAGTTGGCTAAATGATTTTTTAGAAGTGAAGAGACATAACAGACCAAAGAAAAGGAAAGGTAGTAAGTCTTTGGATAACAAAACAAGTAACTTTTATGGATTTTTCAGCTGCTACTGTTGCTGATATCCCATTATCATTAACAGGATGCTACATACTTTCAAGCTGAATAACATATTTGCATATCTTGAGGGCAAAAACAGTTTGCCTCTTAGCAGCAAAGATTTTCTCCATTTAGGTAATTTTAAAAGTACTACAGCGTTTAAGAGCTAATATATTAACATTACATTACCACCAGTACTCCAGGCAATGTAGAAAAAGCATACAAAGAAGTTAATACATTTAGACATGAGGATAAGTACTACAAAAACAATGAGTATTTCACAACGATCATCAGAGAAATACAAATCAAAACTACAATGAGTTATTACCTCACCCCAATTAAAATGGTTTTTATCCAAAAGATAGGTAACAACAAATGCTGGCAAGGATATGGAGAAAAGGGGAACCCTCATACACTGCTGGGGAGAATTTAAATTAGTACAACTACTATGGAGAAAAATTTGCAGGTTCCTCAAAAAACTAAATATAGAGCTACCATCTGATCCAGCACTGCTAAGTATATACTAAGAAAAAGGAAATCTGTATATCAAAGGAATATCTGTATTCCCATGTTTATTGTAGCACTATTCACAAGAATATAGCCAAGAATTGGAATCAACCTAAGTGTCCATTAACAGACAAATGGATAAAGAAAATGTGGTACATATAGACAATGGAATACTATTCAGTCACAAAAAAGAATGAGATCCTGTCATTTGCAATATGGATAGAACTGGAGGTCACTATTTTAAGTGAACTAAGCCTGGCACAGAAGAACAAACTTTGCATGTTCTCACTAAAAAAATTAAAACAATTGAACTCATGGAGACAGAGAACAGAAAGATGGTTACCAGAGGCTGGGAAGGGTGTTAGTCGGGTGGTGGTAGCAATGGGGGGATGGTTAATGAGTACAAAAAATTGAGTAAGACCTATTATTTGGTAGCATAACAGGGTAACTACCAGTCAAAAATAATTTAATTGTACACTTAAAAATAACTAAGAATACAATTTGGATTGTTTGTAACACAAAAGACAATTGCTTGATGTGATGGGATACCGCATTTACCCTGATATAATTATTACGCATTTCATGCCTGTATCAAAATATCTCACATAACTCATAAATATACACATCTATTATGTACCTGCTGAATTTAATTTTAAAAATTTAGAAAAAAGAAAAAAAAAACACTGAATATTTCAGGAGAAAAATTTTTCTCAATCTTTCCTAAAGTGAGTATCTGCTGAATTTTAGTAACTGTTGTTGAAAGACAAGTTAAACAGGTTCTTTCTTTGTCACCCTTTGACCCTGTGCTCTGTGGCTACAGCCTCACGATAATTTCCTTCTGATTCTGTAACCTTCCATTCCAGACCCTGTTGGAATGAACACACATCTCTCCCTCTATCTCCTTAAATACCAGCATTTGCCACTTGAGTATAACAGCTATCATCCCGATTGTTAAACTTAGGTAGAGCTATAAATCCTCTATCACAAATGGACTCTGCATTGGCTAAATCTACTGTAGTTTAAGACAATTAGGTGAACTCACAGAATGTCCACCATTGAAACGGCCCGGCAACCTTCTTCCAGGCATCTTTGGTCTATTTGCAGTGAGATGAAGCAAGTTTTCTGAGGAAGCTATGTCATCAAAATTTACAACATCTAGAAAATAAAAATAAATATTATTTACTAAGAGAATTGCACCTTTTTAAAGGTAAAAAATAATGTTTCAGTTTTTGGACAAACTATAAATTAAAAAGAGTACCACTACTTTGAAGAATTCACAAATTGACCTGTGCTTTTCATATGCATTTGGAAAACAACACTCGCCCTTAAAAGAAAAAAAAAAATCCTCTTTACCTGATACATTTATATAGTATATGACTTTATTAACACTATAAAGGTTGTTTCCAGTAGAGACCTAGACCTCAACAAAAAGTTCTTAGTGAAAAATCTGTATCATAAAATGTAGTAGCATAAAAAACTCATCAAGTTCCTAACAAAGATCTACTTCTTAAACTCATAATAAATTACAGGATCTCAGAAAATCAGCATGTAAAATTGTTTTGAACTTCAAGAAGTAGAATATTCGAATGTTAAGAATTAAACTTTATCTGGCACCCTGCCACTTTCGATTTGTGTTTCTCAATATAAAGCAAAAGCATGATTTAATGTACCTTTATGTGTATATGTATGTGCACAGTATTAGGTGGGACTCAAACTGTTTATAGTTCACTGCACCTTTGCTTAGACATTATCATGTTTAGCAATCACAAGATGGCTTCAAATCTAAGGCAAATCAGATTCAAAAAAAAAAAAAAAAAAAGCTACATGGATTACTAACTTACTTCCTCATCATCAAAGGCTGGCAGACCTTTGACCCGGTAACTTGGGTTTAAGGACAAATCTACTCTAAAACAATGATATATAATACTTTGCCTTTTTCTAGATGATTCAGAAGTCTTGCTAAAGGAAATGTCTTTAACTCTGAAGTCCAAATATCTATGTATGAATCAAGAACCCAAAAGGTAAACTACTACAGATACTTCCATTTTCAATAGAACCTTCCTTTAATTCAGATTCTAAACTCAGGTATTAACCACAGCCAAAATTTTCTACCTAATAGCAGATTCCTTTGGTCTAATCATCCAGATCTGTATTAATTCTTCACATTACCATCTGCCTAGATGTTTATAATACTTTCTGTCAGATAGGTATATGTTCTAACTCAGTTATTTGTTTCTTTAAAAAGATACAGATACTCATCACTGCCCACAAAATTTATTCATCAACTTTACTTATTTAGAGAATGTTTTTAAGGGATGGAGGACACAAAGGTAAGGCAGAAAAAGAGGCATCACTGTTTGGTAATATGCATTTTATAACAACTAGAAGAATTTGCTGATAATATTTTCTATCAATTTCTTTGTGTGTTCTCACTTGTGTCAACTTACTAAGCTGATTCATTAAAACAGATACTCTAATATGCTTGATTTAATATTTGAGTCTTTAGATAACTGTAAGTAATCATGAAACATAACAAACCATAATAATAAATGACAATGAAAAATGCATTATATAATGTGAAGGTTGAATTTAAATATATGTTTAAATGTCATGTTATTTGTAAATATCATAAAGAAAGCAATCAGTATTTTTAAAAGATGTTAAAATATGTTGTAGTTTGAAGGGTGAAAATTGCTTTTACACTGATGTGTGCATTAACAATCCACAAAGAAAAAACCTTAACAAGTACAATCCAATCATTTCAGCCTATAGAGATTATTTTCAAATGCATATTTAAGCAACTTGCAGAAAGAAAAAGAAACAAACAGAAAAACACAGGAGAAGACAAAGAAAAATGAAACTGAAAGGGTAAATAAAACATAGATTTACAAAATTATACACCATGCTCGTGTAAAATGTCTTCTGTATGTCCAGTTTTGAACTACAACACCAAGACAAGTAACTTTACTATTCTAAAACTCTCTCAGGTTCTCCATTTAAGCCACTGGGTTAGTAAAAAGGAACAGTGCACATTTTGGACTCATGACTTATCTAAATGCTTATAAATTTACCTAAGAGGGATAACAATGGATTTACGCTGTACACATGGCATAACAGGCATGACAATCATTTGGCTTTTGCAATCACATCTGTCACTCTGCCAGCCACTTAAAATCTGCATGTTGCTAGAAACACATAAAATTTTTAAAAATCAAAATGAAATATCCAATTTGGAGAGAAAATAAACTGATTTTTATGGTTGCCAATTTTCTTCAAAAAAAATTATCAAAAGAATATTTTAAACGAATCAGGAAACTTTTCCAAAATGAATTTCATTTTCTCTAAAAATGGAAAACCAAAAGGGTTAGAATAAATAGACAGACAGACAAGTACACTTGCAGTAAAATTACAAAGAAAAATCAATGTGCACCACCTATTTATATTGAAAATACTATTTTGATTGCTTTATAAACTTTCATCTTACCAAAATGGAGAAGGGTAGAATAATTTCCTGACACGTAAGAAGGGAAACATGGCAAACAGGCTAGGAAACAAAATCTGGAAAGAAAAGTCAAGGATAGGAATGTCTAGAAAAAAGACTAAACCAAAATAATTATTTTACAAAACAGGAAAAAAGAACAGCTGTAGAATGAATAAAACCATTTCAATGTTTGGCATATAACTATTTGCAGGTTACCTAACTTACACAAGATGTGTATTAGATTTGAGGTTTGTTCCTTTGTCTTTCAAAGGGAAAAATTAATATTAGCATTAATTTCAATATGCATTAAGCTAGAAAGTCCTGTTTTATTACTCACTGAACACCAAGACAGCTTCCAAAAGGATGGCTTAGTGCTTTAAGAGGCCAGAGTAATAAATCAGCATGTTACACCTCATAATGTAGTTACAACTAAAATTAAATCAACTTTTAGTCTTTAGCCCATGATAGAAATTACGATGAAAATCTATTTTAATTCTATGGTATCAAAGAAGAAAAATACGTTAAATATTACTTTAAAATATCTCACTATAAAAATATGACTCAATACTATCTTTAAAATATTTCATACATAAATAAAAATTCACTAATGCCTTATATGATACTTATAAGTCTTTAATATGGCATGATCAAGGAAACTATTAGAAACCAATTTTTTTTAAATTCTAGTTTAGATATAGGCTGATTTTTTATAGTATATGCTACTCAACAGGTACCTACTAGAAAAATTCCACCATAAATTATTTCCAGAAGAAATGAGTAAATATTGGAAAAGAAATTTTTAAAAAATAGATCAACTATCAAATAAACCAGAAGAAAAAGAAATGTCTTTCCTTATTCAACAATGAATGCTACAGTCAAATAATACGTTTCTTTAAAATTGCTTTTTTTTGGTTTGTTTTTGAGACAGGGTCTCACTTTATCATGCAGGCTGGAAGGCAACAGCATGATCAAGGCTCACTACAACCTCCAACTCTCAGCCTCAAGTAATCCTCTCACCTCAGCCTCCCTCCCTAGTAGCTGGGACTACAGGGGTGCGCCATCATGCCCATTTTTTTTTTTTTTTTTTCTGTAGAGACACGGTCTCACTATGTTACCCAGGCTAGTGTCACTATGTTGCCCAGGCTAGTCTCTAACTCCTGGACACAAGCAATCTTCCTGCTTTGGCCTCCTAAAGTGCTGTGATCACAGGCATAAAATTGCCTTTTAATCATAGAAAATCTTACCACAGAAAAACCACCAAAAGATAAAAATACTACACTGTAAGGAAACTTCATCAGTTGGGCTTTCTTAACATAATAGCCATGTTACTATAAAATTTTCTATCTTATATTTTCAAACTAAGTTGAAGATAATTTTATTTTACAGATAACGTATGACTTTAGAAATAAGTGGACCACACAAGCTTTACTATTAATTAGTAGTGGTACTGAGATTTCCCTTAAACCAATTTGAGGAAGTGTTTGTAATAGAGAAAAAAAAATTGTAAGCATAGTTTTTAACAGCCCTGATATTTACAAAACTACATGATCTATGATAATATATATGAAGAAACTAAAAAGTTATATCGTGTCATTAAAAAAAGAGAAAATCTGAGTGTTCTGGATATGTCTTTCTTACATGTACAAAAGTCAGAGTCTGTATTTATATACATAGTTTATATATATACATAAATGTTTACATATGACTTTACAAATAGGAAAATCGTATCTGAGAATAGAGTCAGGGATTTATATCCTTTATAGATTAGAACAAAAACAAAATGGGATGGGTTTAATTAACAATGGAGGAGGCAGGAAAGAAGGAAAATAACATTTGTAATAACTTCCATGTCAGGTACTCCAGTAGACATATACATGTACTAAATCGTTCCATTGTTAGTTAAGGGAAAAAACATTAGGAAACTTTCTATCAGCAATCAACTAATAAATAAAACCCCTTATGTTAACAGCAAAGTCAGTGCACTTTCTATTATTTCACCTCAAATTATTATGGTACACAATAATGAAATTTTCAATACGTTTTTCATGTATGTTTTCAACTTTCTAAAACATATTAAAAAGGCTAGATTCACACATTATATTTGAGGCTGTATTTGAGCCAAAATACTTTTCTTAAAGTATTAACATCACAGAAGAGACAGAACACTTTTATATTACTAATACTAGGAATATATGATAGTCTAACTTAAAAGGTAGCAGGAATCTCTGATTTAATGTTTAGGACATACGCTATTTACTTCCATCAATTATGCCTTTTATCTTAGCATGCAACTGTGCCTAAAACACTACTGAGGATATAAAACTTGCTCAGTAAATAATCTGATACTTAACATGAACTAAATTCCCAACATTTGTATTTTCTGAACATTACAGGGCCTAAGTGTAGTACACCAAAGGTAGTACAATTAAGAGGAAGGAATAAAGAAGAGCAGCCTGAAAGTAGCTGTTAGTTTTCTGACTTGGCTAAGTCTCAGCATCTCTAGATTACTTCCTTATTTATTTGAAGAAAAGAAGAAATCAGAAATAAGATGTTTTCACACCCTGTTCTACAAAGTCTCTGTTTACTATATGGGGAGTAAATAACAGCTATGTATAAAAGATAGAAATAGGGCCCCCCAAACCAAGTAAAAACAGAACTTTCCAATCATCAATAGTTTGAAATTATTACACATATTATTTTTACATGGCAGTGTGTTGTGACTCTATATAGAAAAAGTTTTGAAAAAAAGAAAATGTTGTAATTTACCTAAATTAAAAAAAAAATTCCATTACCTTGATGTAAACTAAATAAAACATTCAAGATGAATACAAAGCAACAGATGCAGATTCCAGATGTTACTCCTTCAATTCCCAAAGGGACTCCATCAACATTTAAAGACTTGTGTGATAAAGATCCCACAAATGTGTGAAAATTAAAAATACAGTTGCAATAATTTATTTCCAGAGTTAAAATTGGGCAAATAATCTGCTTTTCTTCAACTATAACTTATGAAACACATTTCTAGCTATATTTTAAATCAAATAGAAAACAATATGAACTGATCAAATTCTATTTACTGATAAGCTCAATAAAAAAGAGTAAGATTTTTTAAAACATGAGGATTCTTTTTCTGTTTATTGAACAATAAGGATAATTTTCACCATATAAAACATACTGAATAAATTTCAATGAATTTCTCTAAAATACAATAAACATTTCAATTCCCAGAAATTAGTAGTAAATATAGCTTCATCCATAGCAAGCAGGATCCAACTATACGACAGAAGCATCTATAAGATATTCAAATAAGAAGACTGAAAGGAGGCCACACTTTAAGTTAGAAACTTTGCATTTGCAAACTGAAAGAGGGAAGAATAAGGTCATCTGAAAAAACTTGAAATGTAATAGCATATTTTATAATAAGGTAATAAAAAACATCTAAGTGTAACTGGTCTTGAAGTTTAAACGTAAACATGAAATGTTAACAATGAAGCTAGAAAAAATAAAACATTAAGATTTCTTAAAAATACCAGCGTAAAATGAAAATTTAGAGTTCTCCTTTGATGTATGGATAGTGCATATTTAATGTCTGTAGCTTACTTTGTTTAGACATAAAATAGGGGGAAAAAAGCATCTGTTTCCTAGAGTTAAACTAAGAACATACCTGAGAAAGTGCTTTGAAAAAGTTAAAAAAACAAAATACAAATGCAAAGCACTATACAAAATATTAAAAATTACCAGAAAGTAATGAAGACACAATGCTTTTAATAATGAAAACTATCAAGACTTCTCTGTTTCAAGTTTTCCATTTTACAAATAATAATAGGTATTTTTTAAAAAGGAAGAAGTACAGACTAGACAAAGATATCATTAAGCTGAAAAATCAGTCCTAAAGCTTAAAAAAAATTGGCAAAAGGGTTATTAGAAAAAGTATATTTTCCTATACTGGAAACAAAAGTATCTCTAGATTAAGAGGAGAAATTTAAAGTCCCATGAAATATAATCTAATGCTGGCACTGAAAGTCTACGTCATCTCATTTCTAAACTTTTAAAACTAAAGTGTATTCATATCTAGGTTGGGTAGCACAGTCATTCCACTATAAAGAGGGAGTAATAGATGGATCACCTTTTAATATCTATTTCAGTCCTCTGATTAGTAAGAAACCATAAAGTCTGATCAGTAAGGACCATAAAAATTTTACTTATCTTCTTTTACTATTTCTACTTTGGCTACTAAATTTTAAACAAATTTTAACTGTGTAATTTCAACTTTATCCACACAAAAACTGCATATGTATATCTCTTAAAGAGTTTCTTTGACAATTTTTTTTTTAATGCACCACTGCTGTCCATGCTGACTTACCTGTTTCTTTGGAGGTCCTTACTATAAGTGAATCAAGGTCTACTGATTTTGGTCTAAGGGGCAACTGTTCAGAATCTAGCTTTGGTTTTGATACGGGCTCAGTTTCAAACTTTGATGCAATAGTAGAAACTTCCCCATTAATCCTGAAACAAGAAAAAAACATGCAAAAATCACTAGTAAGAAACATGACTTTTTAAAAATTGTGATTTAATGACATTAAAGATTTTATGGCCTAATAGTGATTACTTTCTGTCCTGTAAAACCATTTCCATAAAAGTAAAACTCTGTCCTAAGGCTGATTACAATGAAATTAAAAATGTGAGAACAGTTTAGTAAGTGTGGAAAATTATTATAAACATAAAATTAACATTCAACAGATATTAGTACACAGAAAATACAAAAAATAATACTTAAAAATTAAACTGCAACAATAGAAGGACAACTCTAGAAGGTAGGCAACAGTGAGAGCTAAATCAAAATGTACAGAATGCTCTTGTATTTTTTTTTTATTATTTTAGATTTTTTTTATTTCAACAGGTTTTTGAGAAACAGGTGGTGTTTGGTTACATAAATAAGTTCTTTAGTGGTTATTTCTAAGATTTTGGTGCATCCACCACCCGAGCAGCGCACACTGTACCCAATGTGTAGTCTTTTATCCTTCACTCCCCTCCTACCCTTTCCCCTCAAGTCTCCAAAGTCCAATGTATCATTCTTATGCTTTTGCATCCTCATAGCTTAGCTCCCGCACGTTAGGGAGAACGTACAATGTTTTATTTTACCATTCCTGAGTTCACTTAGAATAAGAGTCTCCAATTCCATCCAGGTTGCTGTGAATGCCATTTTTTTCATTCTTTTTTATGGCTGAGTAGTATTCCATAGTATATATATATACACACTACAATTTCTTTATTCACTCATTGATTCATGGGCATCTGGGCTGGTTCCTTGCAATTGCGAATTGTGCTGCTATAAACACGCATGTGCAAGTTACCTTTTTCGTATAATGCTTTCCTCTGGGTAGATACCCAGTAGTGGGATTGCTGGATCAGATGGTAGATCTGCTGTTAGTTCTTTAAGGAATCTCCACACTGTTTTCCATAGTGGTTCTATTAGTTTACATTGCCACCAGCAGTGTAGAAGTGTTCCCTTTTCATCACATCCATGCTAACATCTATTATTTTTTGATTATGGCCATTCTTGCAGGAGTGAGGTGGTATCACATTGCCGTTTTGATTTGCATTCCTGATAATTAGTGATTTTGATCATTTTTCCTATGTTTGTTGGCCATTTGTATATCTTCTTTTGAGAATTATCTATTTATGTCCTTAGTCCAGTTTCTGACGGGATTGTTTATTTCTTTCTTGCTTTTAAAGTTTACTGGTGATGTTTTTAAAAAGGGCTGTGGCAGGAGACTAAATGGGCTGCCACTCCTTGACTACTGCTGCATCTTGGTGATCAGCTCTTGCAGAGATGTGGTAAGAAGAGACACCACTGGGTCCTTTCACTGTCCTGGGTGGCTGAGACCCACTGCACCCTGGAGTCCTCCTTTGAAAGAGGAAATTTTTTGAGGATTATCAACCAGGCCAACTTTATTCCAGAGAGCCATCTCTGCAGCCTCGACCTCAACAGTCCCAAACTCCACGACACCAGTACCTGCCTTCTTACTGAAAAGCACCAGGTTGAGAATTCCACCATACTTTTGCAAAAGTAGCTGCCTTCTGACTCATCCATCCTTCTTGCACTTCCATTTCAGTTTTAGTTTGGGTTTCCTTTGTCTTCAGTATTTTCTGACTTTTAATCTCAAGTCAAGTTCCTGGTACATCTGCTCCTGGATCATCATCTGCTGTTCCTCCAGTTGCCAGGAACACTCTTCAGTAAGATGTTCAATCTCCTACTCAAGTGTCCTGGTGCTCTAGCTTTCCTCCACCTTCTCACTCACTTGGGCCTGGGACGCCAGGTCACGCTTACCTTTTAGTATTCTCTCATCAAGCCTCTGGGTCCTCTATGCTATCTGCTTCTTGGCTTTTCTAACCTCATCATATGCAGCCCTGGCTGCAGCAAGGCCTGAGAAAGCTAGTGGAGGTGATCACAGCTGTGATCACAGGTAATCACAGCTGCTCTGTGATTATCCAACTTTTGTCTGGGTGGCAGGAGAGGGCCTTCTGCCTCTACGCCTCCTTCACCTCTTTGTCTGCTGCTTTCTCCATGATGCCTAGCAGCACGAACAAGTCCATCTCTAAGAGCCACTGGTTTGCCATGGTTCCAGCCCTGACTGGATTTGTACTATAATTCCCAAGTGTTTTAAGCATGCACAAGGACTGCTGACACAGCCAACAGAATACTGCTTAGCATCCTGGGAATTTACTGATGCATTTTAATAACCAAAGCTGCAATCAAATTCCCAGAATCTGCCTGTGATCTTTGTTTACATATCCAGCTCTCAACATGTTTATATTCTTCTTGGACGTTATTTACAACATTAAAATAAACTTTAACTTTTCAAAAGGGTAAAAGGTAAGTGTTGGTGAGCATCTTAAGAAAAGGGAACCCTTGCACACTGTTGGTAGGAATGTAAATTCCTACAGCCATTATGGAAAACAGTACAAAGGTCCCTCGAGAAATTAAAAAGAGAATCATCATATGATCTAGCAATTCCATTACTGGGTACGTATCCAAAGGAAATAAAATCAATATGTCAAAGAAATATCTGCATTCCCATGTTTGCTGCAGCACTATTCACAACAGCCAAAATATGGAAGCAACCTAAAGTATCAATGGATGAATGAATAAAGAAAATGTGACATATACACACCAGGAATACCATTCAGCCACAAAGAAAGAAAGCAAGCCTGCCATTTGCGACAATATCAACGAATCTGGAGGATGTTAAGTCAAGTAAGCCAGGCACAGAAAGACAAATACCACATGTTCTCCACTCAAATGCGAAGTCTAAAAAAGTGGATCCCATAGAAATAGAGAGTAGAATGGTGATTACCAGAGTCTGAAGTGGTTGTGAGTTGGAGGGGAGTGGGAAGATGTGGTCAAGGAATACATATTTACAGTTAGATAGAGGGAATAAGTTTAAGAAATCCATTGTACATTATAGTGACTGTACTTAATGGTGATGTACTGCATTCTTGAAACAAGATAAGAGTGAATGTTAAGTGTTCTCATCACAAAATGATAACTATGTGAGGTTATCACATAGTTACTGAAGCCATTCCACAATGTATTATATATATGCTTTAAAACATCGTGTTGTAAACAATAAATACATACAATTGTATATGTCAATTTTAAAAATAAATATAATTGAAAAATAAGAAAAAACTTACCTGGAGATTTAGAAAGGCAATGGAGCCATTAAGGTCAAAGGTGAGTAAATCAATAAGCTAATTTAAAATTAGGTAAAACATACTTGGCTATAGGAGGTGGTGGAGGAACTGGTTTTTCAGGTCGCTTTGGGTACATTGTTCCAGAAGATCTCAATAAATTATTGGCTTTGGTAGGTGGAGTAGGTTTCTTGGGTGGGACTTGTGGAGCTGCTGGTTTAGAAGGTTTCTGTTCCAGTGTTGATTTTTCATCTAAGATTAAAAATATTTCACAAGTTATTGACAATCAAAATTATTTAGGTTTTTCTATTCCTAAAAGTTTGTATCAGTCTGGAAAAGTGTGGCAGAGGCAGACATAAACTTTCATTCTCTATATTTGCATACGTGTGCACTGTTTTATTTAAAGATATATTTTAATTTAATAAGCCTAAATAGCTTTTTAAAAATGTTTACTATGGTAGAGAGGAAAACCACTAATAAGCTTCAGATTAGTAGATAATGCCTGCTTTTTATTATGTTCCCAGGAAGTTTTGCTTTTAAGTGTAGTAGTCTATCTCAAATACAAACACATGATTTTACTCTAACCAGAAAATTATCTAGATTTAAATCCAGATTATTTTCTGAAACTGAAATATAGAGAACTGAAAACAAGTAGAAACTCGAGTGCTATATAACGTTCAAATTTAAAAAGCATGACGGTGAAGGAAAAAAAATCAAATGTTAAGAGAAACTAGGGCGAGACTGCTTAGCCACAGATGAGAGAATTACAGGCTTGTATTTGCAATTCTTACTACTGTACTAAGAATTTTATTAATACCATTTCACCTAATAATGCAACGAAATGGGTATTCCCATTTGAAATAGAAGAAAATAAGCTGGAAAAAAACAATTTTGACAATTTTATACTATGTCAATAAAGACAATTTTATCACCAAAAAGGCAACAAGTACTCTTTTACTACACATGACACACCTGCTTCCTGATCTTCCAGGTGCTCACAATAGGTGTTAAAATTGACACATGTGTATAAGACAGTCATAATACAGCAGTTAGCTAAAACGTGTCATAAGACATATATACAAAAATAAGAATCTCCTAAGCACCATACTGAATAATTTTCAAAATGTACTTGGTCTCTGAAAAAAATGTCTATCACAAGACCACAAACAATTCTGTTAAGATTTCATATCAGCCAGAAACTGGTGATTATAAAACCTGAACATCGCAGCACACAGATAAACCTCTCCCTAAAAATTACAAATTTTATTTCACAATGAATACAAAATACTATTTTCTCCTTTTACCACTTATTTAATACATTGAATCACATGAAAATATAGTTTAGTCTATTAAAATTCTGGTCATCATTTGGTACAAAAATCTATTTCTATATGGCCTCAAGATATAACAATGCAGTATATAATTATGCCATCAGAAATTTTTAAAAAACCAAACTCTCCAGTTGAAATAAATAATGAAATAAAACTATTTGTAGTTGTAAAAACCAGACAAACTTAAATTTCTAGAAATTAGGAAAAATGTTTTATACATAATACCACGAATAATGGTCAAAGGAGAGAAATTAAAGAGAAGTTCACTGATTGAACATATTTCTTTTAACAGATACACAAATAACAGCTTGAAATTCTGTAGTGTTAGTCTAAAAAAAACAATACGTGGAAATCAAAAGGTAACAAAAATACGACTCATCATTCCTGGTTATGTAAACATAACTAAATCAACTATAATGTACTGACTTATTACATAACTACTATAAGATGGTAACATATTTATGTACTAGATTTTATTTTTTTAATTAAGGTGACATTTACATAAAATTAAAAATTCTAAAATGAACAATTCAGTGCCATTTAGTATATTCACGATATTATGCAACCAACACCTTTATCTACTTCTAAAACATTTCCAGCACCCCAAAAGATAACCCTTTCCTGATTAATCAGTTAACCTCTGGCAAACAGCAATCTGCCTTCTATCTTCTATGGATTTATCCATTTTGGATATCTCATACACATGGAATCATGCAATTATCTTTGTGTCTGGCTTCTTTCACTTAGCCCAATGTTTTAGCAGTTTATCCTCTTCATACATATAGCAGTATTTCATTCCTTTTTGTGACTGAATAATACTCCATTATACATATACATACACATATATAAAACACAATCTGTTTATCCACTGAAGTATATCTGGATTCCTTCTACCTTCTGCCTACTGTAAACAGTGCTGCTATGAATATTTATGTACAATACATGAGTGTCTGTTTTCAATTTCTTGGATGTTTGGAACTGCTGGGTCATATGGTAATTCCATGTTTAACTTTCTGAAGAATCACCCAACTGCTTTTCATAGCAGCTAAAACATTTTCTACTTGCACCAGTAATGTATAAAAGTCCAGTTTCTCCATATCCTTGCAAACACTTATTATTTATTTTCCTTTCTTAAAAAAAATTTTAACCATCCCAGTGGGTGTGAAGTGGCCCTTGCTGTGGTCTTGATTTGCATTTCCCTAAAGACTAATGATGTTAAACATCTTGTCAAGTGCTTACTGACATGATTAATGATGTTAAATATCTTGTCAAGTGCTTATATAACAAGCACGCTTATAAACATGCTTGTTATAAACAACAAAACTTACATACTCTCTCTGATAAATATCCTATTCAGCCGTGCGGCAGTTTTAAATAGGTTTGGTCCTTTTGCCTGTTAAGCTGTAACAGTCCTTTATATACTTCCAGATCTTGCAAATCTGGTAAATTTCTCCCCATTTTGTAGGTTTCTTTTTACTTTCTTAATGTTCTTACCACAAAGAAGCTTTTTAATTTTGATAAAGTACATATTCTTTTCTTGTTAAATATGCTTTTTGTGACATAGTCTAAAAAAGACAAAAACTCTTTTCTCTAGATTCACCAACACTCTGAGACACCAAAATGTGTCGGGGATTCTATTCCACCACAACCAAGTATCCTGTCACCAGCTGAGTGCCTATAAGTTTAATTCAATTCTGACACTATCTATCTGGGGAGCATCAGATCCCATAAGTTAAAGGCTCAGACCCACAAGATTGCTCTCACTTCAGATTCCAATCTGAAAGTCTCCAATCTCGTACTTCTGATCAACTCCTATAAACTGGGATCCCATGATCACTCCTCGGGTTTGAAACTTGTCAGAAAGCTCACAGAACTCAGGAAGGCACTTTATTTACGTTTTATTATAAAGGATACAGCTCAGAACCAGCCAAATGGAACACATGCAAAAGGCAAGGTATGCAGGAAAGATGCAGAGTTTCCATAACTTCTCCAGGTGTACCACCTTCCCAGCCTTCAATGTGTTCACCAACCCACGAGCTCTCTAAACTGGGTGGTTTAGGTTTTTAAATGAAAGCTAATCAGTTGGTCGGTTCCCTGCCAACAAGGCCCCTCCCACCTTTAGGGGCATTACAAAAGTCTCCTCATTAAATAAAACCAGACATGGTTGAAAATGCTAGTTATAAATATACAAAAGATGTTCCTCTCACCTTTATCACTCAGGAAATTTCAAGGAGTTTTAGGAGCTATGGTGCCGAAACCGAGGACAAGTATCAAATATGGATCTCCTTATCACAATATCTCACTATCTAAAACTATCGCAAATCAAGGCCATGAAGATTTACTCTGTTTTCATCTAGAGATTTTAACTCTTATTTAAGGTCAATGATCCATTTTTCAGTTACTTAGGTTACAGTGTGGGGTAGGGCTCCAACTTCATTCTTCTGAGAACATCCAGCTGTGAGTACAAGAATTTTAGTTCAGCTAAAAATTGGCCAAATCCAACAGAAAATGTAGATTTAAGGAGGCGGAAAAAAAAAAAAGTTCTATGTTAGCTACCTGAATGACCAAGGAAGAATTACATAAGATACAGATATTAGGATAATTTAAGATACAGGCTGGGTACAGTGGCTCATGCCTTTAACCCCAAACACTTCGGGAGGCTGAGACGCGAGCATTGTTGAAGCCAGGAGTTCACGACAAGCCTGGGAAACAAATCAATATCCCCATCTCTACAAAAGAATAAAAAATTAAAAAATTAGCCAGGTATAGTGGCACGTATCTTTAGTCCCAGCTACTCCAGAGGCCGACGTGAGAGAATCACCTGAGCCTAGGAGTTTGAGGTTGCAGTGGGCCATGATGACATCACTGCATTCCAGCCTCGGCAACAGAGTAAGACCCTATCTGTAAGAAAGAAAATGAAATACAGAAGAGTTATCTCAAGTATGTGATTTTTTTAACAAAAATGTTTAAAATGTATGCTAACAAAATACAAAAAAATAACCAAAATATGTCATTTTATTTGCTTCATAATACAGCAATACATTACCAACACTGTACGTAATAAGTTAACCCGTTTATTAATTTAGATGAGGGTTAATATCCTACTGCATTAACTGAAATGGAAAAATAAGTGATAATACAGGCACCAAAGCAAAAGTGATTCCAAGTGAATAAATACAATTTAAAAAATCAAATATTCTATTCTTTGTGATCACTTGGACATGCCTTAGAGAAAAAACAGTACTACCTATAAAGTAGTGAGTCTATTCTTAATTGAATCTATGTTCCTAACATTTTAGAAAATTTTAGGACAAAATATATTTATTCATATTTATCTCACTGAAGTTTAAACTGCAGTATAACATTTTCAGAAACATTAAGTATAAAGTTTGAGAAACTATTACCACATGAACACACCAGAGTAACCACCACATAGGCCAAGAACTGAACATGATCCATATCTGATCTGAAGTTACCCTTATCCTTCTTTCCAATCACTACCCCACTGCTCCTACCCAAAGCTGTCTTCTAACACCATAGATTATTTATGAATATTTTTAACTTTACGTCAATGAAATCCTAAGATTCATGTTGCTGTGTGTAGCTCTAGTTCATTTATTTGTTGCTACGTGGTATCATGGTATATGAATATACCTCAACCCCTTTACCCATTCTTTTGCTGAAGAACATTTGTGCTGTTTCCAATGGCAACTTTGTTATAAATTTATAAACTTTGTTATAAATTGTAGTGAATGTGCAGATTGCTTTGGGTAGTATGGAAGTTTTAACAATATTGATTCTTCCAATCCTTAAAGATGGAATATTTTTCCATTTTTTTGTGTGTGTCTTCTTCAATTCCTTGCCTCAATGTTTGCATATATCCAGGTTGGATTCCATAGTATTCTTGGTTTTGTGGCCTGA